TGGGGGCTTTAATAAAGATGAGTTGTTCCCTTCCAAAATTGCTGAGGCCCAGTTTAGGAGATTCACATTTGAAAAACTGTGTAAATGTTGGCACAGGGCACTTAAGATGATATTATCTGATGACAATTTATCATTGTCAGGGAGATACAGAGATGCATATCTGAAAAAAAATTCCATGTAATATGGAAGCAATTATCTTGTCAAGGCTGGGAAAGTTTTTGTCAGATTATCAAGAAAATGTACAGTGAAACTTTGGAAAGTGATGGGAAAAAGTGAGACTAACCTTGAGGCCAGTGGTGATTTGGGTTCTGATACCCAAAGCCTGTTTCCACAAGGCAGGGGAGTTCCTCTGTTTTTGCCATCCACATGTGCCCTGTGGAAACCCTGGGCCAGGTTGCTGTTCAGGCTTGACCCCTCTACCTGATTCTCCTAGTGAGTCCCTGCTAATTGGTGACCAGCAACTAAAAATCTAAAACAAGACACCCCCTTTTTATTTCCCAGTGTGTTTTCTTTAACAGACAAATGTTTTTGAGAGCTGAAGGAATTTATACAGCTTTCCTCTGTCTGCAACACACAGCAAATACAGGGATATATATTTCCAAAGAGGTTTGCTGTTTTTTTTTTTTTTCCAGTGCTAGTGGCTGGTGCTCAAACCCAGGACCTTGTTTATGTTAGGCAAGCACTGTGTCCCCAAACCAAACCCTTTTATGACATTGTTTGTACTTGCCACATGCTAGACTTTGAGTTAGGTTTTTGGGTTCCTAGATGGGTAAGTCTCCAGGAGCTGGCAGGTTGATAGGATGGGGCTTGGAACCCGCATGTAAGCAATTACAGGTCAATGTTATAAAGCCCTGAAATGTGGTGAGTCATGGTACTAACAAGTGGCCTGGAATCCAGCCCTGGAATGAGCCTGTGGGAGAAAGGCTGCTGTGGCTTTTCTGCTTTTGGATATTCTTGGCTTCCAGACTGCTTCAAGCTTTTGCCCATTACCTGGGAAAGCGGGCCCTAAGGTGAATGGTTAATTCACTACGAGGGATGGGGGTGGACTAGCTCGGAAAGACTCCTGAAAAGACCTATACCAAGTTGTTTCCTCAGGACTAATCAAAGCTAAACAGGCTGGAATCAGAGGACAGGTAACCCAGCTGAGGGGCTGTAGGAAAAGCGAGGGGGAGTGAGTACTGGCTGGGTAGGGGTACAGCCATTGAACAGGATGACGTCATGAATTTGGGGAACAATTTGGTGATGAGGGTTGTTGGAGAGAGGAAGGAATCTCCAATTTCCTCTCCTAAAATGACTCTAACTTGTGTCAAATTGACAAAAAACTAACCAGTGCTGTGGAATAATGCTCTTATACACTATAAAGATTTGTCACTCATATTGGTTTAAAAAAAATGCTGATTGACCAGGCAGAAAGTATAGGCGGGGAAACCAGACTAGGAAAATTCTGGGTAGAGGAAAGGCAGAGACAATCACAAAGACAGACTCAGAGGAAGCAAGATGAGAATGCCATACTGAGAAAAGATACCAAGCCACGAGGCTAAATATAGATAAGAATTATGGGTGAATTTAAGTTGTAAGAGCCAGTTAGTAATAAGCCTAAGCAATAGGCCAAATAGTTTATAATTAATATAAGCCTCTGTGTGTTTATTTGTGATTGAACATCTGCAGACCGGGCAGGATAGAAATTTCTGTCTACAAACCAGCACAGATAGCGAGAATAAAAATGTTTCTCTCTGTTGTGCGTAACACCCGGTTTTGGTGTTACAAGACACAAAGAGACCAGGGTCATTCGACAGGAGATCAAGTGAATGCCCTTTATTCAGACTTGGCAAAGTCCTTATCTACCTAACTGCAGCACTAGGACCCCCGTGGGAAATTACCATATCAACAATGGTATGAATGCCCTGCAGCTAATCACCAGGTGGGGCAGGGGAAAATACAGGAACTTAACCAGGTGGGGCAGACCGCTAGTCATCTGACTAGAAACTGTATGTGCCCTAGGAATAAGGGCTGAATGCTTAGTCATGTTGACCAGAAATTGTCCTCGAGATGCACCCCAGGAATAAGGGTAGATCAGGGCCCTACAGTTGTGTGAGAGTTTTCCTGGGGAGACACAGCACATATGTTCACTCACCCATGAAATGGAACCCACACTAGGTCAAAAGAACAATTACAGTGATGTCCATCTAGGTGAATCAATGAGCTTTCATTAGGGTTACTAGCAGGAGCATGGGTGAGGAGATACAGGGTCAGAGTTGGCACCCAAACATCAGCATCACCACAAAACCACATGGTAACCCCCATGAAAGCTGTCGCCCTGGAGCACTCTGGATAGCTTGAAGCTAGCATGAGTGGTCTAAGTCTCTCTTTGCTGCTCAGTTGGTCAGTCTTCTCTTGCTGCTGTGGCTGTTTCCTCCTTTTATAAAGCTGGGGGTTGTGATGGGCTTCCAGAACCTTCCAAGTTTATGCCTTTGCATGCATGTAAGCGTCTGTTTACCACTTGAGTTTCCTCCCCTCTCCTGGAGAGAATGTTTCCATGGGCAGGAAAGGGCCTCATACATTTCCTCAGTCCTTTGCCAGCCCTTCTCCCACCTCATTCCCCCTTTAACTCTAGTTAAGGACAGCAATGCTCTGGTGACTTTCTCTCACCACAGAATCTAGCCATGCTAACAATGTCTCCAAGTCCAGTAGCCAGCACTGCAGTGTGTCTGCGTTAGTCAAGCAGACCGCCACAGAGCCTTGTTGGTTCAGATTCGGCCTTGGATGAATTTGCTTTCACTTCTCTTTTTCTTTAACAAATCTGTCCTCATCTCAAAAATAAATGATGGTGCTAAGACACAGCATACTTCAAATGCAGATTTAACATCTAAAGGAACCAGACTATTTTCTCTTCAAGATGCTTTACATCTCCAGGACATAATTGAAAGGATCACCTTACTTATGTGACTAAGTACAGCCCACTTTATCATCTCTGACTCATTTCATTCTAAAGTTCTCGAATGCATTAGCATTTCCTCACAAAGAAGTCGTGTTTCATAATCTACTGAGAATCTGATAAATTGGCCCAGGGCCTTTTGCCTTTTATTAAGAGCGCTGTTGAAGACTCCTCGGTTGCTGCTGCTGCATCATAGTCCTTCAGTCTGTTCCCAGTTTAGTATCAACCCTCTAATGCTTTCAATCAGTTAATCACACAGTGACCTTGTCTTCAGGGCCCTATCTATCTGTCTGTCTGTCTGTCTATCTATCTATCTATCTATCTATCTATCTATCTATCTATCTATTGAGACAGTAGTTTACTAAGTTCCCTCAGTTGATCTCAAACTTGCTCTCCCCTCCCCCTCGCCTCAGCCCCCAAGTGCTGGTGTTGTAAAGGATTGTCACTATGCCTGGCTGCTCTACCTTAGCTCTTGATGTCTATCATCCCCTTTATTGGTAACCCTGAGTCAGTCAATGACAGGTGTGCTGTTTGCTGGGCATATGGATGCTTTTTGCCTAAGGTATGCTTCACTACATCTTTCTGGATCATGGGAGTATGCCTGTGCTAGAAATCTGCTCATTAAATCTCTTCTTCCCTCCCTCCTTCCCTTGCTCCCTTGCTCCCTTGCTCCCTCCCTTCTTTCAATGTCACTTCTCTGTTAGATCATCTGCACTCACCTCGTACAATGATAACCCTCTCACATCCCTATCTCCTTTCCTCCCTGGTAATTATTATATTCTAATTCATGCTCACTCGCTCGCTCGCTCACTGGCTTGCTCCCCTGCTCACTCAATTCCTCCTTCAAAATTTGACCTTTTATTGTGTCTTCCCTTTGCCATTACAACATAGATTTCTCTATAAATTCCTGTGTGAGTGATTATGTTGAGTTATTGCTACACAGAACCTAGTATTTAGTGTGTATCGATTTCTCAATACACACCGAATTATAAATAAATGAATGTTATAAAAGTGGTAGGATAATCACTGGTTAGGAGCCAGAGATCTGTATCTTAATGTTTACATGTTCCTATAATAAAAAAAAAAAAAAAACTCTTAAAGATTTTCTCTGTGCTTCTCTATGTCATCAACCAAGTGGCATGCAATTTCTGTTCTACTAGGACTTATGCAAAGATTTTATTTGTTTGGTTTTTGGAAACAGGGTCTTTTTCTAGGCCAGGTTGACCTCAAACTTACTATGTAGTTGAGGGTGACCTAGAATTGAAAGTCCCCTGCTCCCACCTCATGGGTGCTGTGACTGCAAGCCTGTGTTTCTAGCTCTGGCTTATTTAGTACCGAAGATTAAGTCCAAGGCACCATGCACATTATGTAAGCACTCCATAGACTGAGCTGCATTCCCTATCCCCTATGCAAGCCTGTCTTGGGCACCTTACTCTGTGCATGTGAGGGATGATTTTATTGTCTTGTTTACATTCAGTGCACTGAACCCTGGGATTTGTGCTCCCTTTGCTATAAGGCTCATTTCTGTGTTTCTTTGGAAATACTTTAGTGGATTCTTTGAATATCACTTAGATCATGCATTTGAGCTTGTCATAAGCTATTAAAAACTTGGAGAATACAATAGTAACCCACTACAAGGGTCTGGGGTCTCATATATGTCTGGTATTGTGTCTTGATTTGGTATGTTGCACACTTTGGTACAGCTCACCCCCACTGACACACATGGTAGATATGATGTCATTTCTGAGATGAACAAGAGTTGAGCATGGTCATGCATGCCTGTAATCCCAGCACGTGGAGCCAGAGGCAGGAAGATAGCTTCAAGTTAGAGACCAGCCTGGGCTACCTAGTGACCAAGGCCTCTCCTTAAAAACAATAAGAAACAAATCAAACAAAAACAAAACACCTAGAGAAGACAGCACCTTCAAAATCCAACAACCTCCCAAAGAGGGAAAACCTGGGAAGAGTTCCAGTCTTTGCTCCTGACTCTGAGTTACTTAGCCCTGACAAAGCCCATTTTCACTCTGTGGACAGTGTTTCTCATGGATGTGTTACTTTTTTTCAGACTGTTTATGACCAGTGGTTCATCACTCTTTTTAACATCGTGTACACATCACTACCTGTTTTAGCCATGGGGATATTTGACCAGGTATGTGCTTTTCCTTTTTTCTGTATTTGTTGCTTACTTTCTCTGTAGAATCTTTCAGCTATTGCTAGATAGCTTTTAAGTAGAAGGCTGATTCATGGGAAGATCTTTAGGAATGCAGTTTTAATTAGAAGTGTTACATGGGTCGCAAGTCCTTCTGGGTTCCCTCCCCTGCCTGCTGCTTCTCCAAAAACGTCCTCCATCCAAGTTTGCCCTATCTATTCTTAGGGATTCACATCTCACAGTATTGATGTAAGGTTCAGAGAAGTCATGCATGAAGTCTTTTCTTTCATTTAAGTCCACCATTTCTCAAATTTCTATGATTGTATCTTTTTAAAAATATAATATTTTAAATTAAATTTTTGAGGCTTTGATAAACACACACAATGCATTATGACCACACTCACTGTTCCCCAACTCCTACTTCTAAGTTTTCCCAGATCTACCCCAACACTCCAACTGACCCTCTTAGCTTCACATCTCTCTCTCTCACTCTCTGTGTAGAAGGTTTGTAAAAGAATAGGTTTCGACATGACTTTCAAAACATCCTAACATTAGCCATCCCTCTTCCTGCTCCCTCCTCTATCCTACCCTGCCATTCCTTCCCCACTTAGATCCTTCCTTCCCATCATTCCGCTTTCTTCCTTCACATTGCTTGTATTTCATTATCCTCCACCCTTAAGCTCTTTCTTTCCCCACCAATGGGCCCTCTCCAATTTCCTGGATTCAGCAGGTACTTAAGTTAAACACATAAATCTAAAGGGCCAACGCCGGCGCCTTGGATGAGTGAGAATACATTGTTTTTGTCTTTCCGGGTCTGGGTTACCTCACTCCATATAATTTTTTTTTCCAGTTCCACCCACGCACCTGCAGATTTCCTAGTTTCAGTTTCCTATACAGCTGGATAGAATTCTACTGAGCATTTTTACCACGTTTTTATTATTGTCTCATCAGCTGGTAGACATCTCGGCTGTTTGCATATCCTACTTACTGTGGTGAATATGGATAAGCATGGATCTCTGTGGTAGGATGTATGTTCTTTGGATATCTGCCAGGGTTCACATGGTAGATCTGTTTATAGCTTTTAAAGGCACCTTGCCACTGATTTCCATGGTCGTTGCTCATGTCTGCATGCCCACTGTCAGGATGAGGGTTTCTGGTCCCCACATCCTCACTACTATTTGCTATCACGTGTTTGCTTGATGATAGCCAGTCTAGTTGAGGTGACACGGAGTCTCAAAGTAGTTTTGATTTGCATTTTCTGATAGCTAAGGATGTTGAAAAATTTAAATGTTTATTATCCATTTATACTTTTCTATTGAGAATTCTCTGCTCAGACTCATAACTCATTTGAAAACTGTGCTATTTCTTTTATTGAAATGTGTGTATATTCTAGTCCAGCAGGTCTCAACCTGTGTGGGTCATGACCTCTTTGGGGGTGGCCAAAGAGTTCTTCCACAGGGGTTGCCCAAGACCATTGGAAAACACATATATTTACATTATGATTCTTTATTTTATTTTATTTTTTTTTTATTTTTTGGTTCTTTTTTTTTCGAGACAGGGTTTCTCTGTGGCTTTGGAGCCTGTCCTGGAACTAGCTCTGTAGACCAGGCTGGTCTCGAACTCACAGAGATCCGCCTGCCTCTGCCTCCCGAGTGCTGGGATTAAAGGCGTGCGCCACCATCGCCCGGCTACATTATGATTCTTAACAATAGCAAAATTACAGTTATAAAGTAGCAACAAAAACAATCTTATGTTTGGGTGGTGACCATAGCCTGAGGAACTGTGTTAAGGAGTCTCAGCATTAGGGGGTCAAGAACCCCTGTTCTAGACACTAACCTTCTGTCTTATGTCTAGCTGGTGAGTTTTCCTCCATTCTGAAGCTTCTCTTTTTACTTGATTAACTGTTTTCTTCGGTGAACAAGAACATTTTAATTTAATGAGATCCTATTTCCTGAATGACCAGGGTCAGATTCCGAAGACCCTTAACTGAGCCTGTGTCCTGATATGTACCCCTTACTCTTCCTAGTAGGACTTTTGGAGTCCTTGATCTATTTGGAGTTGATTTGTTTGCATAGTGAGATACATGCTTTAGTTTCCTTCTTCTCTGTGTAGCTATCAAATTTCTCCAGTCTTATTTGCTTAAGATGCTGTTTACTCTCGTGTGTATTGATGTCATCTTTATAAAACAGGTCAGGTGGATCTAGGTGTGTGGACTTATATCTCTGGCTTCCATTTTATTCCATTGATTAATGTGTTTGGTTTTTGTGCCAGTACCATGTTGTTTTAACACCATAGCTCCATGGTTTAAATTAAACTAAGGAACGGTGATGCTTCCAGCAGTCTTCATTGTTTCAGATGGTCCTGGCTATCTTGAGTCTATTTTGCTTCCCTACTAATGCTAATGCTTTGCAGTTTTGGTGAAGAATTGCATTTGAATTTTGATGGGATTGCCTTGAGTTCTTAGGTCGATTTTGGTAGGATGGCCATTTTTACAATGTTAAATCCACCCGTTCATGAGTCTGGGAGACCTGTTCATCTTCTGGGTCTTCTTCAGTTTTTCCCTTTGGTGTTTTGAAGGTTTTCATTGTGCAGGTCTCTCATTTTGCTATCTAGCTATATATCTTTACTTCTTCCCCCTTTTTCTCATTAAATGTTAGCGAACAGATTCCTTAGCTTTCTCCACCCTTCAACCGGGTCACAACAACCCTACAGTCTGTCAAAGAGTTGACAAGACACTTCAGTGACACGTAGGACACACACACACTTGGCTAGCTTTCCTCCTCTGCTGCCCAGGATAAAGGAAACTTGAAACTGTGATATCTGCCTCCCAAACAATGTGGTATGGAAATTCCTGCCATCCCTTTGAAAGTCTGTAAATCTCCTTTGTTCAGGAGCCTTGAAGGCTTTTCTTTAGCTTCCCCATCATGTTAGACACGGTGGGTGAATGAAAATGAGGCCATGACCACTCCAAGGTATGGTTGAGAAGGATTTTATTGTAGATACAAGGGAGAGGGCAGCCAGAGGCATAGGAAAGAGGCTAGACTGAACTGGGCCGTGAAAGTGGGGGTGGGAGGTGAGAGAGGAAGAGAAGAGAGAGAAGAGGAGTGAGGGAAATGGACCAAGACAGGACCAAGAGAACGGAATGTTAGGTTTATGCAGGAAGGAGAAGCCGTGAGGAAGGAAGCAAAGTCCTTGGGCTTCTGAAGAATTTTAAGGTAGGGGGCGTGGTGAGAAGTTCTGGGAGGAGCCACAGGTACTGAGTGAGCCTTGTCTAGGGTTTCCTTGGGACCTGGTAGTGTCTATATGTCCTAATGAACTCCCGCTTCAAGCCCTGTCATTCCCCGCCTCCTTCCTAGTTAACAACTCTCTCTCTCTCTCTCTCTCTCTCTCTCTCTCTCTCTCTCTCTCTCTCTCTCTCTCTCTCTCTCTCTGTCTCTCTCTCTCCTAACAAACCTTATTCTGGAGGGTTCTTCCATTCAGGTCACTTTGTGAACCTGTTGCTCTGGCTTCAAGCATTATAGTGTCTCAGAATTAGTGCCTCTGAGACCACATGCTGGAAAGTGCTGTGTTAGCCTCTGGGGGTTTGGAGAGAGCTGTGCAGGGCTAAGGAAAAATGAGGGGACAGGGGCAGCAGGGGCAGTGCATAAAATATCAGCATGTACAGTGAGGCCTTCGTGGCCAGTACGGAGCAACCCCAGGGCACTGACCAGCCCATCTAAGACAGGTGAGCACACACAAGTCCTCAGTGGCGGAGAGAAAGAACCCAGGCTTTATTCAGTGTTTTTGTGTGTGAGATGGGAGAGCGGGGAGAAACCAGTTACCAGAATGGTGCTTCATAGCCTACTCTGGTTTGGAACGTACTTCCTGGCAAGGAAGGAAGTCTGGCTGCCTGTGGGGAAGTAGAAGCCTTAGCCAGTAGAGTTTCCATGGCACAATTAAAGTGTATTACTTTAAAACATTTTTTTTGAAGTATTTTTGAGACCAGATTTTTCTCCAATCTGTTATTAGACCTGTTTACTAGACTTCGTTTTCTGGCCCAAAGCAATCTATTGCACAATGCACATCTCCGCGCTGTGAGGTCACTCCCTTCTCCCGTTCTGTCTGCTTTGTAGTTGGTTCTGAGTCCCCGTCCATATGTAAAAAGGGCGTCCGCACAAAGTCCTGAACTTCAAAAAGCCCTTAGATGTAAAGGATTAATTAAGCACACGCTCTTCTAAGTGCTGCTGTTCACAACTGTTTCTTTTCTTGGTGCTTTGTAGCTGCCCACAACGTGGAGTCAAATAGTAAAAATAAAGCAGTTCTGGGAAGAAAACAAGAAGAAGAAACCAAAAACAGTCATTGTGCAATGTGAAAAAAGCAGAGCAAAGCAAAACAAAATATAATAAGCCTCCTGATTGACATCAACTTGAATGTCTGTTCCTCTCCTCTTTTGGTTTGTCTGTGCTGGCCCTTAAGCTGATGGCAGAGTCATGGATAATGGGCCAGAAGGCCGCAGGGGTCATCTCTGGGGTCACTCATTTTGTGAAAGGAGCAAGGCCAGGTGGTTAAGTCACAGACCGACCAACCGATTAGGGGCAGAACTAAGACCATCCTGAGCTCACTTGAGTTTGGGCCGCTACATTTTACCATCACTATTATTTATTATCACCATCATTTCATCAACATTTTATGTTAGAGCATAGATTATTGACCATTTAGTACGGGGCAAGGATTCTTAGTCATGACAGTGGTTTTCTGTGTGGGAGGTATTACTGTCTGCATTTCTACAGATGAAGAAACCAAGACTTGGGTTAAGTAACAAGACTACATACTGCCAAAACCTGTTACCAGGCCTTCAGCTCATCACTGTGGTTTCAGAGCTTGTGACTGTAACTGTACCAGTCACCACTCTAGAAGAAAGTACTCTCATATGACGGCTTCTGCAGGGAGGACTTCTTAAAGAGAACGTGTCAGGATTCACAGAACCCATTCTTTGCAGTCTGGGCTGCTCGACAAGGATGAAGGGGTATTAGACTTCTAGAATTTATCTACACATAGACTTTGGTGTTTCTTTTTTGTTGTTGTTGTTATTATTTCTTTTGTTTTTCAAGAGAGGGCTTCTTTGTGTAGCCTTGGCTGTCTTGGAACTAGCTCTGTACACCAGACTGGTCTCCAACTCAGAGATCTGCCTGCCTCTGCCTCCTGAGTGCTGGGATTAAAGACACATGCCACCATTCCCTGGCTGGACTTCTATGCTGGCCATCTTTTAGTCTTGTCCCTTCATTTTGATGCTCACACTGTGGCTATTAGCATCATTTTTGTAGACAGCCTGTTTCCAGAATGTCTACATTCTGTAATGCAGAATCTCATAGATTAATACGTCCATTAAGTTTTAGAGAAATCAGTTAAGTTTTTTCTAGAACTTGGTGGCTGCTAAATCTGGAGCTTCCTATTCTGTCTGTTTCTGGTGGCATTTATTGCTGAATTCTCTCTGGGCAAAGTGTTTAGTCTCAGCCCTCTTCCCACTCTGAATACCACATGGGTTTCCCCCCTTTTCTCATCATTCCTGCTCACCTCGTGCCCAGGGGGCCAATGCTGACTCTGAAGCCCTCTGCAGATGATGTTAGCAATTTCCTTACGGTGCACGGCTATACATAATGTGCTGGAATCCTGGAGCTTGAATCCTTCCAAGATGGCAACAGCCAGAGCAGCCTGTAGAGGACGTAGGGAACAAATTTTGACTGGAGTTCAAATATATGCATTCAAGTTCAGACAAATCCTGCCTGTGTTGTTTAAGATCTGGGTGCCCTCTCCTCTGTTTCTATTGGGGATGGAAATGTCTTCATATCAAAGGAGGGGTCATTTGTAATCTGGTAAGTAGGTTCTTCTGGGAATAAAAATACGGTAATGTTTTATTCTAGCCCAGTGAGTAATAGGTAGCAGGTGATGCTTACAATGACCTTGTCTGTTTCTGAGGATAGGGAATACAGGGCCTCCCTGACTCTTCTCTGAAACTGCTCTCTGTTTACAGGATGTGAGCGACCAGAACAGCATGGACTATCCTCAGCTCTACGAACCTGGACAGCTGAATCTACTTTTCAACAAGCGTATCTTTTTCATCTGTGTGGCACATGGAATCTACACTTCGTTAGCCCTTTTCTTCATTCCCTATGGGTCCTTTTACAACGTGGCTGGAGAAGGCGGGCAGCCCATTGCTGACTACCAGTCCTTTGCGGTTACCATGGCCACATCCTTGGTCATTGTGGTCAGTGTACAGGTAACCCTGTTCCCTAAGCCGCTCTGCCTTGGTGTGATTGGTTTACACATATGTTGAAGTTCACTATCTGCTGATTCTGCTTGTTAAGGTTCCGGGCTGGGAATAACTCTACGGGAGTACAAGGAATTCTGTCTGTTTGTGTGTAGATGTATGCATTTGTGTGTGGGTGCACTCACCTTTGTCCGTGCGTGAGGAGGCTCAGCGCGCTATTAAAATGGCATATTAAGGAGAACTCTGATAGGTCTTCTTTCTTGGTCTTCTGCGCTGTGATTTGGTTTGTTTTCTGGTGCAATTGCGTTCATACAAACTTCTGGTCCATGAATACCAGCGGCACCGAACTGATGTGGTGGGTGATACAGCCTCTGTGTTACTTTGGTTTTGCTTATTAAGTGAACTGTTAAAATCAGAAGATCTCATGTCACAGGTCACACGAGCATTTCTTGAGTATTAAGTAAATGGGTGAGATAATAAAAGGGGAATTTCCTCTCTTCGATCCTATCATAAACTGAGCTTGCCCAACCATTAGAGAAGAATAATGAAAACTAACTTGCTTCTCCAGATTATGTCTACAGTCTTTGGACACATCTAAGGCTGGTTCTCAAACAGCCTGAGAAACAGTTCCCCGTGCCGAGCCTAGGACAACAACGGATGCAGCCTGGGCTGTGGTCTCTCCTGAGGTTCAGAAGCCTTAAAAAAAAAAAAAAGCAAGGCCCTGTAGAGGGGGAGGCCCACACAGAACTTGGGCACATAGAGTAAATTTGGAAGGAGCAGAAAAGTATAGAAAAAAATTAAAATTCATCCACAGTTCCACACTGGTGCTAACATGGCAAAAATTATAGAAATCAACTTTGTGTGATTTTATAATTTTGTTTCGCACTTATCTTTGTCTCCTAAGTATGTAACTTGTCTTTGGATTATTCTCTGAAATGTCCCTTTTATGGCTCTAATACTTGAGCATATGAACATAGCATCCAGGACACTGGTAGATTCCTTCTATGACTTTCACTATGAGAAACGGCACAGTGGCAAACTTTCATATGCCAAATCCTCAGTGTGTCTTTATTGTCTGAAAGCATATTCTTTATTGATATTTCACTTTTTTTTTTTTGAGACAGGGTCTCACTGTCTGGGCTGGAACTCACAATATAGACCAGGCTGGCTCCTGACTCACAGAGCTCTACCTCCCTCTGCCCCCCCCCCCGGGCCCCCACATTCTGGCATTAAAGGCATGTGCTACCATGCTCAGCCAGGCTGTCTTCTTAAAAGGGGAATTCTAGGTCCAAGACTATATGGAAGTTTGATGTTCTTATTTTAACTCATTGCAAAACATCTTCTTAAATAGATTTTTTTTTCATCAGATGAGTGTAAAACCCCCTTCTCAGCCAGGCCTACACCAATAAGAGACCATTAGTTCACAATGTCGAGTCTACAGCCTCTGGCTGCCTGGGACATAACTGATGTTTAAAAGTCTTTGTTATGTTCACAATTTAAACAAGAATAATTAATAAAACATTTCTTTTGAAATAATTATAGGTTTGCAGAAGAGCTGACCCTGTAGTTGACAGTGCCCGAGTCTGCTCAGCCTGACCCACAACCATGATGGCACCTACGGAAATTAGAAGAAATCACCAGTATTATTACCTAAACTACAGGCGTGGCTCAGGCTTCCTTAGCTTTTCTGTGAATAACTTTTCTCTGTTCCAGTGTCCATCACAGGGTTCCACAGGGTACTTCGCTGTCATACTGCCATCGTCTCTGACCTCTGACGGCTCTGTGGTCTTTCTTCTTCTGTAATAAATCTGGAGAATAGTGGTCAGAGGGTTTGTAAACTGCTCTGCAGTTTGCATGTCTGATGTTTCCTTTGGAGACGTCTGTGGGATTCTAGGAAGGGTCAGAGAGAGGTGTTGTGTTCTTCATGTTTCTTCTCTAGAGCACAACCGCTCTGTACCCGTGAGCACTGTGTGTATGTATCACGTTCTCCTTGTCTATCTGTCAGTTGATGGACATCTAGGCTGATTCCATTTCTAGTCTGTCGGGTTGTACTGTAGCATGCAGGGTCCAAGCACTGGGTACAACCATTTTTTTTCACCTAGAAATCTCCATAGTATCTACTGGCACCATGTAAGCTAGCCAACAAGGTGGAAGCTTCCCTGTCAGTGAGAAATTGATTTCTGTAGGCCCTACAACCAAAGCACGTGGTGTTTTCACCAGTACAGTCTTATTGTCTAGTGACGGTGGGCAACCAAGAGCAACGGTGGATAGCCTGTGTTGTGTGAGGGGTAGGCTCATAACAATAGGGAATATTTCATGCCTGGCTCTGAGAATTTTGTTTAATAATTCTTGTCTTTTGGGACCAATACTCTCCACCAATACAGGGAACTTTCATTCAAACTCCTTTTCGTTTTAAGTTTTTCCCTCCTTCTCCTTTATAACATGTATGTTTCCACCTGCCTTCCACGAGCACTTTCTGGCTTTTAATCTCTATAGACACTCCAAGCAGTCTACTACAGCTGGACCAAATAGCTTTCCTTTAAGTCTTCTTGTATAACCACCACACTGATTTCCACAGTAGCAACACCAGTTCACACTCCTGCTAACACCGTGAAAGGGTTCCCCTCTTCCCAACACCCCACTAGCGTTTGTTGACACCTGCTTTCTCGATCTGAGCCCTTTTAATTGAGGTGGAATCTCTAAGTAGTTTTAATTGTCACCAAACGTTTTACACTCTTGTTCTAGATCGTTCTTCATCTACCTCTAATGAAACAAATTTGGAGCTATTTGTTTTGTTCTCTGTCTTTTAAACTTTTTTCTTTTTATTGAAATAGATTTTTTTCTAATATAATATATCATGATTATGATTTCCCTTCCTTCTATTCCTCCCAGTTTCTCTCCATCATCTGGTATCCCTCCCCTCTGGGTCCACTCCTTTTCTGTCTCTTAATAGAAAACCAACAGGCTTCTAAGGGAGAATGATATATACTATACTATAATCTAATATATAATAAAACAAAAACTGTATTCATGTTTGCCAGTCATGGTGATTTAAAGGACCTTGTTTTCCTGGTGTCCTCCACCCTCTCTGGCTCTTACATTCGTTCTGCCTCCTCTTCCTCTGGTTACCCTGCGGGGAAGGATTTGATGGAGGTGTTCACTTAGGGCTGAGTGTTCCAGGTCTTTCACTCTCTGCTTGCTGTCTGGCTGTGGGTCTCTGTATTTGTCCCCATCTGGTGTGGGAGGAGGCTTCTCTGATGCTGACCAAGCAAGGCACTGGTCTATGAGTACAGGGGAATGTCATTAGGGGTCATGTTATTGCTACTTTTTTTTGTATAACAGTGGTGTTTGGGTTTACACTGCAGCGGTCGGATTAATAAATCACCAGTAATAGATATTTGAACAAGTTTAATAACAAAACCAGACTCACGAAACCAAGGTTCCAGCGGAGTAGCCAGCGGAGACAGGAGAGGAAGGGAAGGGGCGCGCAGCTTTTGCCCGCCCAATATATCAGTAAACAAACGCCTGAGGGCAGCCCGCCCCCAAGGGGAGGGCTTATCCCTACATTACACTAGGTCCCTGTGCTGTTTAGTCTCAGATTCTTGGTCACTCAAGCAGTGCCAGGCGTGGGTTCTATCTCATGGAGTGGGCCTTATGTCAAATAAGATATTGCTTGGTTACCCCCACAAGTCCTGGGCCACAATCTCACCAGCATATCCTACAGGCAACGTTGTATTCCAAAGGCTTTGTGGCTGGGTTGTGGTTTAGGACTGTTTTTATTTTTCCTTTCTCTCTCTGTCTTTACTCTTATCTTCAATTTTGACATGTAAACAATGGTATGGTTTTGATTCAGAATGCTGCCGAATACTCCTTTAGCATAGGTTTTGAAGGTTCCAATTTCTTGTCAAATTGACACTTTAGCTAATGCTCACATCATTATTTATTTAGAACTAATTATAAATTTCCTAGAATCATTGTGAGCCTCCTTTTTTTTTTTAAATTCTATGCTACAACTGTTCTGAGGTTTTGTTTTGATTGATCTGGGTACAACAATATCTTCCAGGAAATAGTTCAGAAAGGGGATTTGAATGTTAAAATTTTGAGCTTAAATATTCTTTATCTTTGTATTTAAGTACTATATTGGGTGATAACAGGAGTACTGAGCGTGAGAGCTCCTTCCACCGCACCCTGAACCCCTGTCTACCTCACGGGTACATTTCTATCTCCCGGTTCCCCTGTGGGAGGGTGATGTCAGCTGATCCTTTCCCCTCAGTACCCTTTCGGTCTAAAAGCTTATGCTCTTTATTTTATTTCTCTGATGCTAGCTGAATGTGATCCTCCCCCCGCCACACTAATTTGCCTGGGATTTGAAGAGTCCTCTCAGTTTGAAAACCTAGGCTGCTGCTGATTGAGGGCACTTGGCTTCTATCAGATTTTTGATTGGCACTTCTTTCTTATTCCTTCACTTTGTTCAAAGATCTTATTAATTGTATATTGGGCTCAATATACCTACAGGTCCACAAATTGTTTCCACTTCTTGGTTTGTGTTCCCTGTTGTTTGCATCCATTCACCCCAGGATATAAATTTAGCTCTCATCAATGGTGATTCTTGTTTGGGTTTTCTGTTCGAGTTTTAAAATTAGAAGTGGTGTTTTCCCCTCAGGCTTGTATCATATCCCCTTAAGAGATATCACAATGCTTAGCTGTTGCGATAGTCCTTGTCTGCCACATTTATTAGTTTCATTTCAATGGGAGATGCTTGTTCGTTTTGCTAGGTCTTCTACATGGGTAATAATTTCTTTTCCTGCTTGGAATATGGGACCAGGCTATTTCCTTTTGCTAGTGATGAGCTGACAGATGATGGGAAAATGAATTGGTGGTCCTGGTTTAGTGTCCTGGTAACCAAAAACACCAGATAATTAGCGGGTTGTGACCAGGCTGGACAGCAGGGCTGTCTGTCTGCAGGTATAACAACCCTGTAATTCAAATCTTCTGCTTCCAGGGTCCCACTGCTACAGTCCTTCAGAGGGAAGCAAACTGCAGTGGGGGTGGGGAGCCTGTTTCCATGTCGACAGAGGATATGTTTATATCACAGAAAGGGTCCCTTCAGGCAGAGAAGGAATCTGTGATCTTTTACCTGCACATCTCCTGAGGCCTCTGCCGTGTAAATAACATTGTTGTTCCCATAAAAGACACCGGAAGGGAAGAAAGGCTTGGGAACACACTCCCAGGTCACCACAGATTTTATGATCAAAAAGTCAAAGATTTTTCATTGCTGTGATTTGAGTAATGAAGACAGGGGTCATCGAAATGAGTGGGAATTTTCATATAAAAAATCACACGTGTAAAAATAACTTATGAAATTTTACACACAGCTCATAAGATGTTATTCCCGCTACATGATTTTTCCCAATAGAAATATTTTGATAGCAATTTAGAAAAGCATTCAATTGTCTTGTTTCTTGTTAAAAAATAAACCCCCTAGCGTTTTATTCCACTCCTTGAGACTGTTTCAGCCTTGGCAGATGCAGATGCCCATAGAGCTGAGCTCCAGCCACTTGTCCGACATGCCCGTCTCCTGGTGTGTGTGCAGATGTGGAGGTGTGCGCAGCTGGCCTGGTGGTCTCAGAGCAGTCCTTGGGGCAAGCTTCTGCTTACAGTGACTCCTCTTTTTGCATTTTATTGTATTTGCAGATAGCCTTGGACACCAGTTACTGGACGGTGATTAATCATGTCTTCATCTGGGGCAGTGTGGCTACGTATTTCTCCATTTTACTGGCCATGCACAGTAACGGCATCTTTAGAATCTTCCCGCACCAGTTCCCCTTTGTCGGTAAGGAGCTCTACCATTGTGAGGCCCTGGGTCACACTGAAAGTTCTTTGTCTTTGTGACTTGGTTTTTTGTGTTGCGTGGGACTAAAAGTGGCTAACAACCTTTTTCCTAGACGTTGACTCATGTCTCTGAAGCCTTTCAGATTTGAAGGGGATCCCAAGAGACTGCTGTTTCCCTTGCCGGGGGCAACTTAGAGGTGCTAACAGCCGAGATGCAATGCTCTGTGCCCTAGAAAACAAGGGGGCATAGCTTGTGCATTGGGACAACTGTACAGGCTGTGAAAAGTTCATTTGTTTTGCAGAGAAAAGAGGAAAAAATGCCCAGTTCTCCTTATACCAGGATAAGCATATCTGCCAAAGCTCCCCCATAGACATTACCAGCATTTAGATAAAAGAGAAATGTTGCAGGTGTTACTGCTCTCTGTAGATTTCTGAACATCCTTCCAGAGGTGGCCAGAAGAGATGGCTGAATAGATAGTCAGGCTTCAAACACCAACTCCACCACTTAAGAATTGAGTGATGTTGAACCCATTTTCTAGCCTTTCCATGATTTAGGATTTATTTATGAACTGGGTTATTAATTGTTCCCATTTTCAATAGAAAGAATTGAAGATCAAATGAGTTGCTACATATGAAATGTGAAGATGTATTCTAGCTAAATAAATATTAACTCTGATGATACTGTTTGTCTTAGTTAGGGTTTCTGTTGCTGTGATAAATACCATGACCAAAAGCAGCTTGGGGAGGAAAAGGTTTATTTCATCTTACGTGTTCTGGTCACAGTCTATCATAAAGGGAGGTTGGCGGGAAGCTCAAGGCAGGAGCCCAGACATGGAGGAACTGACACAGAGACCATGAAGGAACACAATTTATTGGCTTGCTCTCCATGGCTTCTTCAATCTGATTTTTTCTTCTTTCTTTCCATTTTTCTCCTTCCTTCCTTCTTTCCTTCCTTTCTTCTTTTTGTTTTGTTTTTGAGACAGGGTTTCTCTATGTAACAGTCCTGGCTTTCCTGGAACTCTCTTTGTAGACCAGTCTGGCCTTGAACTCACAGAAATTCACCTGCCTCTGTCTCCCAAGTGCTGGGATTAAAGGTATGTGCTACCATATCTGACTCATCCAGGATGACTAGCCCAGGAGTGGGCTTACAATATGAACCTGCCCACATCAATCATTACTTAAGAAAATGCTACAAACTTACATATAGGGCAATCTTATGGAGGTATTTTCTCAACTGGAGTCCCTCTTTCCAAATGACTCTAGCTTGTGCAAAATGACATAAAAACTAGCCAGAATAACACTATCCTTCAAGAGGATGTAACCTGATGATTATGTTTGGGAGCACCATGGGAGAATTTGAATGTCTGTCTGATGGGGTAGTGAGGAACCCCTAGAATTCCTTTAAGTCTTGAGGTTGCATTACTCAATAAGGAAGGCACGTCCAGTGTTCCTGTGCTCAAGTTCACACTTCCAAATGACTCTGGAAAGGTCACCAACTTTTACACAAGAACTATTAATATACTTTCCAAGTAGTTTTTAATTCTCTAGTAGAGTTGAGTAAGTGAAGGGCAGAGACTTTTGGAGTTCACTTCAACAACCTAGGAAGGAATGATGCACAGAGATAAGTCTTGTGAGCTCAAGCAGGCAGCACAGTGCTTCAAATCCATCCTATGATTATCCCAGTCTATGTAGGAGGAGGCCGACTGCTTATTCGTTCCTGGCTGCCCAGAACTTGAAATAATCACACAGAAACTGTATTAATTAAATCCACTTGTTGGCCAATAGCTTAATCGTATTTCTAGCTTGCTTTTATATCCTAAACTAACCCATTTCCATTAATCTGTGCATTGCCACATGGCTGTGGTTTACCAGGTAAAGTTCCATCTAACATCTGTCTCTGCCTTCTTTCTCCCAGCATTCAGTTTAGTTTTCCCTGCCTGGTTCTATTCTATCCTATCACCAGCCAAGGCAGATATTTTTATTCATTAACCAATAAAAGCAATACATATACAGAAGGACTTCCCACATCAAGCCTAGAGAACTATTCTCACGAGACTGACCTGTGCAGGATGTGCCACCAGATCGATTCTGAAGTGGCTTCTTCACTGATGCTAGGGTTCTATTTCCATTCAGCTGTGCTCAGACACCGTTCTTCAACTTTGTCTCTTCTTACATGTACAGTAACTTCTTCACATCCTAACAGTCTTGCTCAATACACCACTAATACTTTGTTTACCAAAAGATTCCAATCATGCGGAAAAACATGTTGGTTAGTCATGGGAACACACCAGTTAGGAAAGGAAGACTCAAGAACTGTTTCTAAGTCTCACTTTATTTACTTCTGTGTTACCAGATTTGAACATTTTGTGCATTTCCAATCCTAAAGACCACTCTAACGTGCAAAATGGGACTACTTCCCTGGAGAATGTAGTTTGTGTACAGACTAATTCCTTTTAGTTAAGCACATGCCATTCCACGAATTAATTACTGAGATCTAATGAAAGTTTACAAAAGTTAGATCAACATTGGGGTTTTGTAAAAAAAAGTTTTTTTTCCTTCGTAACTAGGAGCAACGGATGGGTGGTGGGGGGAGTGGCTTTAAAGCAAAGCTTTTTTTTTTTTTTCAGCATTGCCTGTGGGTAATGAGCATCAAGGAGCTCAAAAAGACATCTAATTGATTGGGTCAAGTTTGCTCCGCCCTTGGTTTATAGTAACTGGAGCCAGAGCTCTTTGGTAGACAGATTTTCTCTCGGAAGCCAGAAAAGGCAGACATAGCCATCAGTAGCCAAGCTTTCATATCCAAAACCCATTTGAATGGTGTTAACATAGGTGCATGGGTGGGAGGGGGGTAAAGACCCTGTTGATTGACGATATCATGATAAATCCATAGAAAATGAGCTCGGACAGGGATGGTGTCTTCCCATGAAGTCTGCCTGTCTACCCCTTGCTCCCTTGATTAGACAGACAATAAATACGTGAAGAGTGTAAAGTCTGGAAGCTGGCTTCAGGCTTGGGGATGGGTTTCTCCGGCCCACCATCTCTCATGTTGGGTAGATGCATCAGTGGTCATGGAGAACTCTTTTCATCAACCCAGAAGCCTCCAGGATCATCTTAGATCTTTAGCTCCTAACCGAGGGAGCATCAAAGGAATAGCAGGCTCCTTTAGAGGCAGCTTTTCTGGGCTGTTGCCTGGCATTTCAGAAGTTAGCCTTGTGCTAGACACAGTGCATCCCAATGACATAGGCAGCCAGTGAGGCCCTTGCTTGACAATGGGTCTGAATCAAAACATTAATCAGAAGTTCTAATCTGATCATAGATCATAAGGTTGAAAGAAGGAATTGAGTCAAACGGGATGGAATGTGGAAGAGGGGATGCCTGATCAGGCTAGCAGTTCCCCAGGGTTTTGTAATAGTTTTAAACCTTTTTTTTTAAAGTTTATATGATTATCAATTTAATTAATAATCACTAACTATAATTGTAAATTAATTTATGTAATTATACATATTTTATAACGATGCAGTGTTTTATACCCGGGATGTCTGTGTCTCTCTATTGGTAGGAAACGCATGGCACTCCTTGAGCCAGAAGTTCGTCTGGCTTGTTGTTCTCTTGATCGCAGTGGCTTCGGTCATGCCGGTGGTGGCTTTCAGATTTCTGAAGATGTATTTGTACCCAAGCCTAAGTGATCAGGTATGCTGCCATACTGTGAGTGCTTGAAAGCTGGCCGGTGGCTCTCGTGAATGGTGTCCTTCTCTGTCTGAACAGGTGCACAAGGAATGAGCAGTGACATTTCCACACATCCACAGCATCAGGATGCAATAGACAGAATCTCTCCTCCCCATGCTAGTGTCCTCGGCTTAAATGTCAGCGAAGAGAACTGTAGCAGGCTAAATGTGGATAGGGAGTGGAGAGTTAAAGTATTTTTACCCCTGACTCTGGGAAAAGAAGTTCACTGGGATAATGCTGTAGTATTTCTTTAAGAGAAGAGCAAGCTCTAGGGAAAGCTAAGGGCACCAAACAAGGAATCCAGACAAGTCAAGGCAAGGGATCTCATCATTTGGGCAGCTGCTAGGTAAAAGAGAACAAATAAAGCAACGCTGGGCTAGGCTGGAACACAGGACGGGAGGAAAAGGAGGAGGGGAGACGTACTGGCATCATCTCATGAGGAAAGATAATGGGGCCAGATCAGTGAGGATGAGGGCTCCAAGGTGGCCTTTCTTACTGTGATGTCCCTTACATTCCGGGCGGGGGGAGTGTGAAATGATTGGCAGAGTCCTTTATGTCTGTTCTTTCCTGTTGGTTCTGAGCTCAATCCAGCCCAGGAAATGATGGGCAACCTGAAGATGCTCATTTTTCTTGTGTTAAAGATGATTACCATGATTTGCTTAATGAGTGTCTTCAGACCTGAAAGTTAGAAGTGAGCACTCGTGCAAAACCTCTGGTCATTTTCTCTACTTAACCTTTACAGGGAGATAGAAGATATGTTGGAAAGCCACCTAAATGATGTTACATTCTTAAATATTTTTGAAATTTCATATGAGGATTACATCTAGATCATTTTCCCTTTCCCCTTCTCCCAATTCCTTCTGTGCTCCCCCTCCCGAATTCATAATTTCTTCTTCTGTGACTGTGCTGAGTCTGTTTACTGTTACCTGGACAGACATGTGCAGATAGGGCACACACTTCTAGGGATGACCGCTCGAGACCAGACAACCTGTATGGGAGCTTGTCCCTGAGGAAACGGATTCTTCCTTTTCTATAGCCACTGACTCTCTGTAGCTCTTCATCTGGGATAGGATTCTGTGAAATTTGCAGACAAGTGTAGTCCCTGCCCCTCATTAAAGAAACTTCTTTGCAGCAGGTGGAGCCGACTGTAGAGAGCTGCACTTACCAAAATGCAGAGAACAACTCCAATGATACAATATCTGCATCTGCAACACAGCCCTACACCTGAGGCTCAGAAAATGTTCCTGAAGAGGGGGCAGGGGGAGCTGCAGCTCTAGATAGTGTCCCGGAGACAGTAAATCCACCCATCAGCTCTCAACAATAGACTTAGTTCTTTAAAAGTCCACACATCCACATTCATATTCGTGCATCACACACACACACACACACACACACACCAAAACAGAATAAATAAAAATCCTGAAAATTTCATGATAAGCTGATCTTCTATAAGAGGGGAAAATTCTGACTCCAAGTTTCCAAATTTTCTCCTAATCCAGTAACTGCAGGACCCAGACAGACTGTAAAAGGGGAAAGGGGAAAAGACTATAGGTATTGGGACTGTGTTCATAATATTTCTATACAAAAGTATACTCGAGATCCTGGGCTCTTTTCCCAGCACTGTTACTAAAGCAAAGCAAACACCTCCCCCAAATTCAGCAGATGAAATGGAGACAGTAATGAAATTTATTGGAATATTTCTTGTTTACATAAGATTTTTCTCAATAGGAATAAAAAAAACCCCTGCTTGGTGCCTAGTGTGATCTTTGGGGTGGAGAATATTGTGGCTTTTTGGCTTAAAGTTTCCTTTTGCAGAGAAGGGGAATGTTTCCTTGCAGCAGACACTCAGGTTTTATTCAGTGGCCGAATGTCTGGAGTCTAATGTTTGGGTTCATCATCTCACCGTGGCTCTCGTCCTCCTCAGATCCGCAGGTGGCAGAAGGCTCAGAGAAAGGAAAGGCCCATCCGAAGCCGAAGGCCTCAGACCCGCAGGTCAAGCTCCAGAAGATCCGGGTACGCGTTTGCTCACCAAGAGGGCTACGGAGAGCTCATCACATCTGGAAAAAATATGCGAGCTAAAAATCCAGCCCCGACATCAGGGCTGGAAAAGATGCTTTACAACAACACGAGCTGGATTGAAAATTTATGTAAGAAAACCACAGACATGGTGAGCGGCTTTAGTCACGATAAGACAGTGAAACTGTGAGTCAAGACAGACTTGAACCACAAGGCTTTCTTTACACCTCCTCTGGGGCTGAGCTTCAGCTGCTCAGGGGCCAAGAACAGGGCAGATCGCCTTGCTTACATCTGTGGCCTCCAGTTGTCAATGCCTGTCACATACTGGTGTGTTCTGCAGGGAACGGGGCCCCATGGGCACCATCCAGTTTGTGAGTCTGTGGACCAAGCCCTCCGTCAAGAGACAAGCACAGAATTTTATTAACTTAAACATCAATTGATCTGAATTTTGAATCTTATTTATGGGGGAGAAAAAGCTTGTAAATTAGCATCTACACTGGATGGGTCCTGGGTCTGTAAAAGGGTGAAACGCAGGTTTACAGATACACCGTGTATGTGAGGCTCTGCCTTTCCCAAAGGCAACCACAGAGTTTACAGTCTGCAGTATGGTGCTCTCAGACTGAGAGTCAGTCTCTCTCCAGTTGTGACCTCAGTTTACCAGTCCATCCCGGACAACAAACTGTCACGTGCCTGAAGAACACGCAAAAAAAAAAAAAAAAAAAAAAAAAAAAAAAAAAAAAAAAAAAAAAAAAAAAAAAAAAAAGCCCATGGAGTTCCCTGTTTTCCAAACCAGCCCAGGGACAAAACAGGCTGAATATCTTTGCAGAGGGGCTGCTAATGTGGTCAGATTTATTCAGAAAGTGTTTAGTCTGTTCTATGTAGGGACCAAATACGGGAGTGGCTCCCCAGGAAGTCTCCGAATGTCCCCGTGTGGCTTGTGTAGCGATGTCAGTAGCCATCTGTAGCACGTTACAGACTGCGGATGGAACCCTCAGAGTGGTGGACCGCCATACTCTTTCGAGAGTGTTCCGTATAGCCTAGTGCCAAAGCTGCTGATGGATCCCATTTTCAAAAGTTAAGAATTGAAAGGGAGTGGGTTAATAGGCAATCTCTACTGTTACTATTTACTCAGGTTTAGGTCATGGAGACGCAATTCCTCTTAGGATCCAGCTGTCTTGTTTATAACTCAAACATCTAAATAGACGGATGGGTGGGGCTGAGCTTTAAAACAGAGATTGTAGGCCGGACTTGGGATGGCTGGACGAGCCACTAGTTTCTTTCCTCCATAGGCTCTATGCTCAAATTGTTGCTCTGCCACCTTTTACCTCTGTGGTGGGCAGGCGATGTGCCTTTGGAGACCGGGTTTCCTCCTCTACCCAATGAGGAGGGACTACCTACCTCAAGTGGTTGATGACCATCAAGCACAAGTTCTCAAACTATTAGGAATACAGTTCTCAATAGGAATGTACAAGTTAGGCTTCAGATAGCTCCTCATCAAAACCACAGCCACCGGAAGAGACCGCAGGACCTGGGCTGTCAGTCGTGAGTGGGATGAGGTGAGATTGCTAAGTATGATAGAAAGCAAGTGAAATTATAGCCCGGGGAGTATATTTAGCTGCAAGGAAGTGAAATAAAGCATCAGGTCTTACTAGTTTTCCAAAATCAGCCTTTGGTTTTCTCCTTTCTCTGGTCTCTATTCAATTGCTGATCAGGTGAAAGTACTTTCCACAGAGAGCTAGCTAATCCTCTGTGGCCTTGATAGATGACGGGCTAGGATGGTTTTAATAGGTCAGTGTCCCCTGCCCAGGTGGTCTTGGTTTCTAAGGGTAATTCTTTTCTGAATGGTACTTAATGAGACAATATGTATTCAGGAATCTAATACCTAGAGCTTAAACCAATGACCAAAGCTTGTAGCTATTTCTTTTTTCTCTACATATCTACCTAGAAAAAAAGTAAGATGTGTGTGTGTGTGTGTGTGTGTGTGTGTGCCTCATGATCAGGTTCAGTGTGCTTGGTTATGTTTTATAACAACTTCACAAACTTTGGAAATTTTCAGTAAATTTTTTGCAACTCTTGGTGTTTTGTTCATTATTGGGAACTCACTGGGGAAATTTTTCATTTCATTGTTCCCTCTTTATCCCCTCCCCTCATTCCTCACCCTCTGTCCCTCCTTTCTATGCCTGGGGAAAATGGGGAAATGTCCATTAGAGTCAAGAAGTAGATGGACCAATTGGATCCATGTATAGTACTAGATAGAAATGGTCAATTTTGGAAAGTTCAGTTTAATTTTTGAAAAGCTAATTATGAACAGATAATGCAGAGGATTGTGGGAGAAACATTTTATTAGTTTGCTTTGGTCCTGTGAGAACCAAGGAAACTTACACAGCTCACTGTAAGATACTGAACCAGATGGGATAATTTCGAACCTGAAGATGAAGGTTGGTGGGGTGGTGGTGATGTAAATAAAAAAAAATTTTAATTTTATATAAATGTATCAGACTATTTGGGGAGACTCCCTTTTTTCAAAGGTCCTTAGATCTTAAGTTGTGCTAATCTTAACTTTTAAAACCTCAGGCCAAGTTTGAACAATTCCAGGCAAGAGCTAATTGTATTTCCCTGGGGTATGTGTGAAGAAGGAAAGAAAAAAGAGAAGGTGAAGCAAGCAAAAGGGAGAGAAGACAGAAAGGAAAAGCCAGAAGGTGGGAGGCGGGATAAGCATTCTTAGTTCTACGTCTCTTGAGATGCTACGATTCTGCAAAACAAATACGATCGCTCTAAAGAACCCATGAGATTAGAGACTTGAATAACAAAATTTCTTTACATCCTGTATGAGTTCACGAAAAACCCTTTGGAACAAATCCAGGAATTCTGGCTTCTCATATCAGCGATGCCTTGATTTGTGTGGCCAAGACTTGCAGCTGCCTCCTATGGGGCTTTGTATCTTCATCCATCACCTGGGAGCTGGACAGATTGGTCTCCAAGGTCCTTTCTCATCTGCTCATTCTGTGACTGTTCTGGTCCTCTGCACTGCTATGTGCAATTGACTTTGATTGTTAAGAGTGTGGGGAGCGGGGAGGAGAGAAGGGGCAGGCAAGGGGAATCGAACTGGATGTTCTCTTGAGGGTAGGGCCTGGCTTTTGTACTGTTTGTGTTCATCTAAGCAGTCCCTGTCTTGGGCTCCTGACAGAGATGATTCTCCCAGGTTTTTCTGGAGACAGATTTCTCTCACCTTCCTTTCCTTGCTACCATTTTAATATCAAAGATACGCAGACCAGAAGGTCAGATTCGCCCACCAAGTGAGAGAAAGCCACTTAAAAGTAGCTTTTCTTTGTCTGAAGTCAGGTTGAAAAACAGTGCTGGAGTAACATTCTTCATGGTCATGGGGCAGTGTGTGCACGGCTTCAGACTGTGTTTGCTGGGCCTTACAGCCGGTAGTGTTCAGCACATCCATGCTCAGCCTGTTTTTGGTAAACTGAGGTATGGTGAGATGAAGCGCTGAATCTTTGATATTTTACAGAAAGGCCTGCTCCCAGTCAGACGCCAGACCAACCCCCCCACAACCCCCCCACACACAAGAGAAATGAACATGTCTCAAATAATTTTTTTAAAAAAAATCACTGGAAAAGATACACCAGAAAGCCTTACTTACTATTTTATCACAGTAAGTTCCATCACTCTGTATGTACCTGATCAAAATCCCTAAGACTGATTAAGTTGGTAATATTGTTAACTCTGCCTTAACGTGATTTTGGATCAATTAGTAGGGGATTAAGGGAGAATCCAGAAGCTGCGACTTATAAGCTTTAATGGAATTTTGCAGGACATTGGTAGGATGCTTGCAGGGAATGGTGATTTCCAGTTTTGTACTAACATTTGGCGTTATAAAGGTCTACAGTTCACTCTACTGCGTCATGTCCCTAGTCCTCACTAGGAAATCACAGACTTTTGCAATTCTCTAAGCTAAGCCTTCTTCAGAGCTGTCTGGAAGCCAGAGATACACTGCCCTTGTATTTCAAAGTGCTCATTGTGACAGAGTTGGAGGCTTTCTGGGAGAATCTTTATAGCTTACAGTTACAACTTAATGAAGAAAGGGACCTATCTGTCCTAAAATTTCAAAACTCCCTGGAAGATACATCCTAAATTCTTCCCTCCCAATAAATCTCTTGAACGAGGTCTAGGAGACAACCATCTTGCAGAGTGGAGCAGAACTGCAACTTTTTTGCTGGGAAACCTTCCCCTAGTGCAGCAGAGTTGTTAGACTCTGGAAGACCCAAGCAGTGCTGTAACAACTTCACTGGGGAAACATCCCAGAAACCTTTCCCTGGAGCAGAGCTGTAAGCTGCTATGATTTGCTTTGTAATTTGCCATTCCTCTCCTTTCCACCTGTTCCCAAATATCTGGTGACTGCATCCCATATAACTGACTTGGAGGCTTAATATTACTTATAAATGCCCAGACAATAGCTCAGGCTTATTAGTAACTAGCACTTACATTTTAAGTTAACCATATTCCTTACTTATGCTCTGCCATGTGGTGGTACCTTTATTAGCATGCATATTCATCTCCTGCTCCCTCTGTGCCTGACTGGTGACTCCTGACTCTGCCGTTCTCCTCCCCATTATCATTAGTTTGGCCATCTTGTCTTTACTTCTACCTCTATAGATCTATGTATGTTTCTCTTAGGGTCTCTTGGTTGTCTAGGTTGTCTGGGGTTGTGGACTGTAGGTTGGTTTTTCTTTGATTTATGTCTAGAAGTCAATTATGAGTGAGTACATATTATATTTGTCTTTCTGGGTCTGGGTTACCTCACTCAATATGTTTTTTTCTAGGTCCATCCATTCGCCTGCAAATGACAAGATGTCATTATTTTTTTTTTTACCATTGTGTAGTACTCTATTGTGTAAATGTACCACATTTTCTTTATCCATTCTTTAGTTGAGAGACATGCAGGTTGTTTTAGGGATTATTTCTATAGTTCATTACCTGATTTTTCTTAATTCAGTCTCTCATTTTCTGTGGAAATAAAGTAGAGCCTATTTCCCAAAGTTTAACTTTCATTTTGATCTTGATGCCTTTCATCTTTTATCCATTCTCATCATGTCTGTTTTGTGCTCTGTCTTGGGTTTAAATGTCTATGCAACACACTGCCTTCTACACAGAGATGACCAGAACAGAAGCCAGAATGAAACCATCAGACTTTACCATTAGTGCTTGCCTAGAGCACAGAGAGTTTGGAGCAACAGATCACAAGGTGAGAACACCCAGATTGATCATTATTTTAGTTCCAAGTTAAGTTGGAACCTATATGCTGTATAAGCATTGCAGCTTGGACAGAACAGTATCCTGGCATTGGGATACTCGTGAGGTCAGAAAGAGATAGCGATATGCAGAAAAGACAGAATCAGATGGGAAAAAAACTGACATACAAACTAGTTAATACAGTTTTGTAATGTCTTAAGGTGTATAATTTAGGGTTTTTTGAGGTTTCTCTAATTATTAAATGTCTCTACTTAGAGCTATAAACTTTTGCCTTAAGACTATCTTTATTTTATCTTGTTTGTTTTGCTGTATGCATTTTGTTTAACTCTAAGATATCTTTGTTTTCCTCTTTGATTTCTTCAATGACCCGCTAATCATTCAGTAGTGTGTAGTTTCATCTCTTTGACTTTGCCTATTTCCCATAGTTTCTTTTGCTGTTGATTTCTAGCTTTATCCTGTTTTAATCAGATAAAATTCAAGGAGTTATTTAAATTTTCTTGTATTTGTGAGGACATGTATTTTGTGTTTCAATATATTATCTGTCCGAAGTTCTACTGGTTCCTGGGAAATATGTGTATTTTGTAGTGTGTGGGTGGGGTGTTCTGTTAATGACTAATGTATGATGTCATAAGTTCTAGTGTTTCTCTATTGTTTTTGGTCTGGGTTATCTGTCTATTGGTGAGAACAGACTATGGAAGACACACACCAGTAATATGCTGAAGTTAATCTGTGACTTTGTGTTTACTAATATTGTAATTTTAGTGTGTGTTAGTGTGAGTGTGTGAGTCAGTGTGTGTGCCTGAGGGCATGAATGCACACTGCATGGTGTTTAGGAACCCGAGGTAGTCAGAAGAGTCATTGAAACTCCTAGAAGTAAAGTGGTTGTGAGCTGCCATGTGGGTTCTGATAACCACATCTGTAGGTCTTAACCACCAAGTCATCTCTCCGGCCACGGGTCTGCCTTGGTTTAGTGCATACATGATTAGAATTTCAGGGTCCACTTCTGAGATGACTGAGACAGGGTTTTGTTGTGGATGGCTTGTCCTCTTTCATACCGTCTCCTGTAGCCCCCTTCTCTTCTGAGCTGGCCTTAGTCATCATCTGTGAGAGGTGATGACCCTGCTCTCTGACAGGGGATCGTGTACTTCTGACTCAATGCAGGTATCACCTTAGAATAAACTGATACCTGGTATTCATCCTCTGCTCAGTTCTTCCAGCGATGCTATGCTTATAAACTCAGTGTAACCGGCAGCTCGACTGGACACCCCGTGCTGAGGAACTTCCCTTCTCTTGGCCTGAAGTGCTTCCTTACTCCCTTGCTCCTGCCTATGAGAAAAGACAATAAATCTTGCTTTTATTGACCTCCTGTGATCTTTAAAGTAGTCTGTGTTAAGTTGGAATAGTTCCCAACCTCAAATGTACTTTAATCTTCCTTAGAAATCCCAGCATGATCTGGGAGGGAATTCCTTAAGGCTAACAAACTAAGGAAATAGAGAAACCAAGGGAAAGATGGTAGTTGAAGAATAGTTTCCAAATCCAAAAAAAAAAAAAAAACCTGAAATTCAAATTGGAAAGGAGTAGAGTGTCCCATTCAAAAATTCATACAGTCCAACTTCAAAAGTTCCCATAGTCCATAACAGTCTCAAACTTATTTAAAAGTCTAATATTCAAAGTCTCTTCTGAGATTCATGCAATCTCTTAACTGTAATCCCCTGTAAAATCAAAATCAAAAACCAGGTAGCCTATTTCCAACATGTAATCACACAGGCTATACATTACTGTTCCAAAACACAGGGAATGGAGCATAGTGAGGAAA